CACACCTCCTAGCGGAGGGCCAGACACCTCGCACCGTATGGAACCAACCTGCTGACCGTCGTGGGGGCCAGGGTAGAGTGGAAGCTGGCCCCAGTCTGGAACCCGCCGGGGAGCAGCAGAAGCCAACCTGGGGCGAGTGGGGACTCTGGAGCGCCCAACCCGAAGGTCAGTCTTGATGGAACGATTTATGGCGGCAGAAGAGACTGGGGGAAAGCACCCTCCCATTTCCACGTCGGGACCCCGGCGAAGCACACCTCCTAGCGGAGGGCCAGACACCTCGCACCGTATGGAACCAACCTGCTGACCGTCGTGGGGGCCAGGGTAGAGTGGAAGCTGGCCCCAGTCTGGAACCCGCCGGGGAGCAGCAGAAGCCAACCTGGGGCGAGTGGGGACTCTGGAGCGCCCAACCCGAAGGTCAGCCCTAGCCCGCGGGGGGCCTGCTTCCAGAGCAGCCAAGAGGGGCACTTCAAAAAGGACTGTCCCTTGATGGATTGTACCTTCGGGCAGAAAAGGCGAGACGGGGCAGCCGGAATGACCTCGGCACGAGCACAGGTAACAAGGCCAATAAGCCTGAACGGGAAGCGGGTAAGGGCAGTCGTGGATTCAGGGTGCGGGCAAACCATGGTGCGGGAGGATCTGGTCCCTGCTTCACTCCCCCGGGGACCCCAAATATGGATGAGGTGCGTGCATGGGGACGTACATCCGTACAACACCACCCGGGTGTGGATCGATGATGGACAAATAAGGGATAGTTGCCAGGCTGCCATATTTCCCAAACTCCCCTACCCGGCACTACTAGGGCGGAACTGGCCGGGGCTGGCCACCCTGCTGAAAGAATGGGGTGCGGGCCAGGAAGGCACGGGACCGGGGCAAACCAGGTCTATCCTGGCGGCCCAAGGAGAAGAGGTCCCCACCTCAGCAGAAACCGAGAGGGTGGAACCTAGGGAACCCCTTGCCCCGCTACGCTTGGAGGTGGATGAAGGGGACTTTCTAACACACCAATGAGAGGACCCGACATTGCAAGCGGCATGGACCCAGGTGCGAGCAGAGGCGGAGGAAGCTCCAGACGGTGAGGGGCGGCGCCGCCAGGGGCCACGCTTTGAGGTACGGGGGGAGCGACTCTACCGGGTGGCAGTGGGGGCTGAAGGGCAAGAGAACCTGCAATTGTTAGTTCCCCGCCCATACCGGTGGAAGGTATTAGAACTAGCCCACGAACACCCTTGGGCAGGGCATCTGGGCAGCGAAAAAACCCAGCAGCGGATTCTGCAGCGGTTTTATTGGTCAGGAGTGTACCAAGAAGCTAAGAACTTCTGCCTGTCCTGTCCCCAATGCCAAAAGACATCCAGTAAGAAGGTGGCACCCGTGCCTCTGCCTATCGTGGGGATCCTGTTCGAATGGATAGCGATGGATTTGGTGGTGCCCCTAGAAAAGTCGGGAAGAGGGCACGTCTATATCTTAGTAATTGTAGACTACGCGACACGCTACCCCGAGGCCATCCCGTTACGAAAGGCGACCGCCAACGTGATAGTGGAGGAACTAGTCAAAGTGTTTTCAAGAGTAGGTCTGCCAAGAGAATTGCTGACGGACCAAGGCACCAACCTGACCGCGAGGGTGATGACTGAGCTGTGTAAGTTTCTATGAATCCGAAAGATCCGCACCTCCGATGGCCTCATGGAGAGATTCAATAGGACGTTAAAATGTATGCTCAGAAAGTTCATACAAGAGGAGCCCCGGGGATGGGATAAGCTACTACCCGCCCTTATGTTCGCCATCCGGGAAGTACCTCAAGCCTCGGTGGGCTACTCTCCGTTCGAATTACTTTACAGGCATAAGCCTCGGGGGATCCTGGACCTGGTGAGGGAAGGGTGGGAAGTGCAGGTTACCCCAGCTTTAGGGGTAGTCCACTACGTGATGCAGCTCCAACAGAGACTATGCTCCCTGGCCGGGTGGGCCCAGGAGAGCTTACAGAAAGCCCAGGAAGGACAGTGCCATCAGTATAACCAGAGGGCCAGGGTTCGGGAATTTGCACCAGGTGACCAGGTGCTACTCCTGCTACCAGACGGGGAGTCCAAATTGATGGCCTGGTGGCAAGGACCCTTCCGGGTATTGCGAAAGGTCGGGGAAGTAGATTATGAGATACAGTTGGACGGACCCCAGCGGGCCACCCAGATTTACCACATCAACCTCTTAAAGCGATGGGTACCCCGGGAAGGCTTTCTAATAGAAGCACAGGCGAGGGACGTAGAGTTCGGACCCTGGGGGGATCCAGAGGTGACGGTCAAAGAAGCCTCGCTCGGGGCCAACCTCACCGGGCAACAACAACAGGAGCTCCGAAGTCGGCTGGAGGAGTATCGGGGGGTACTAACAAGCAGACCGGGGCAAACGCATCTGATCCAGCATGAGGTCGTCACTGAGCCGGGTAAGCGGGTGTTGGACCAGGTGAGGCCCCTCCCCCGCAAGATGTGGGATACCGTGAAGAAAGAACTAGGGGACATGCTGGACTGGGGGGGTAATCGAGGAATCGCACAGTGGGTGGTGGAGTTCGATTGTTCTGGTCCCCAAGACAGACGGGTCACTCCGGTTTTGTATTGATTTCTGTAAGATTAATGCGATTTCTCAGTTCGACGCATACCCTATGCCGCGCATTGTCGAGCGGTTGGGCCAGCTGGGAAAGGCAAGATACCTCTCGACGATCGACCTGACGAAGGGCTACTGGCAGATCCCGCTAACACCAGCAGCCCGGGAGAAAACTGCCTTCGCCACCCCCTTCGGCCTCTACCAATTCCGGACTATGCCATTCGGCCTGCATGGAGCGGCCACAACGTTCCAGTGCCTCATGAACCGTGTCCTGAGGGAGCACCAGCTTTATGCAGCTGCATATATAGACGACATCATTGTGTTTAGTGAGACCTGGGAACAGCACCTGGAACACATCGCAGCAGTATTGGAGACACTGAGGCAAGCCGGCCTGACGGCCAACCCAAAAGAATGCCAGTTTGGAAAGGCAGAGGTAACTTATTTGGGGTACATGGTAGGACAGGGGAAGGTGAGGCCCCTGGTGGATAAAGTCCAGACAGTACGGGACTACCCCACTCCCACTACAAAAAGACAAGTAAGGCAGTTCCTGGGGTTGGCGGGGTACTATCGCCGGTTTGTGGCCCACTTTGCGTCATTAGCCGCCCTGCTGACGGACTTAACCCGTAAGGGAAAGCTGCAAAGGGTTCAGTGGACTGAGCAATGCGGGAGGGCCTTCCAAGGTTTAAAGGAGAGACTAACCCAGGCACCTGTCCTAGCCCTGCCTGACTTTACAAAACCGGCTGTGTTGACGCAAGAAACGGGGCAATTCTATACCTAAGCCATAAGCTTTTCGCTCGTGAGAAAGGGTACGCCACTATTGAGAAGGAGGCGCTAGCAATTAAGTGGGCGGTAGAGGCGTTACGGTATTTCCTTGCAGGGGGCTGCTTTACCCTTGTAATGGACCATGCCCCCCTGAAGTGGCTCAACACCATGAAGGATACCAATCCATGAATACTCCGGTGGTACTTGAGTCTGCAGCCCTACAAGTTCGAGATTGTGCACCGGCCGGGGAGCGCCCATCAAAATGTGGACTGCCTCTTGAGGATACCGGAAGGGGACGTGAGGGATGGGGCGAGTATAAGGGACGAGATAAAGGGGGAATGGTGTGACGGGGCGCTCCCGCCCCGCACTCGGGGTACTTGGGGCGACGGCGGGGGGAGGGAGCGCTGGGGGGCGGCGAGGCGGGGGGCCGCCGGGATGGTGGGCGGCG